TGGTAACTGGGAAGCAGAGATTTTTGTTTTATTTTTTCCTTAAAATAGGAGAGATTCAAATATGTTTATATGCCAAAGAGAAGTCAAGACAAAGGGGGTGTTTGAAGAAAGAAAAATGTGATGACTAATGAACAGGACCTAATGAGATAGGTGGGGAAGGGAAAGGAAGGATGTGGGATGGATCCAGAGCACAGGTGAGAGAGATTAACCAGGAGCAGAAGGAGAGATACCTTTCTCCTTGAGCCTGAAAAAAAAAGAAAAGAAAACATGTGTGGGTGTCTACATATGTCAGGATAAACCTAACAACCTGCAAAATCTTACAAGAAAGGTTTGTTTCGCACGCTACATAGCCAGGGCAAGTTGGCTCTGATTCGTTTCCCATTTTATGATTTAGGCATGTGGATCAGGTCCTAACTGGAATACTGTCATGTTTGTGGCAGAAAGAAGAGAACGGCAAATCATGCATGAGTGCTTAAAACTTCTGCTGGGAAGTGATGCACAGCACATCACATCAATTCACATTTCATGGCTAAAGCAACTTCCATGATCATGCCTGATTTCAATAGAATAGGCACATAGGAGAGGGATGATGAATATGAGTGAGCAGTGCAATAGAGAGGGGCTTTGAATATGGGAAAACTGCAATGTGTCACAAGACCCATCCTGCTTTTGTTGGCGATGGAAGTTGCTCCTTCATTCATTCAATAAATATTTATTAAGCACTCCTGCTTGCCTTAATCCCAACCTCTAACAATCATTGATCTGCTTTCATTGTAGAACTTCTAGAATTTTAAAAATGAAATCATGCAGTATGTAGCCTTTCATGTTTAACTTCTTCAATAAAACTAATGTTGAGGCTATGAAAACAACGTATAGGTTTAAAAGGCAAGGGAAGTAGTAAGGCTCACCAGTCTGAGTGCCCACCTACTTTGGCTTCATCCTAAATACTAATTTCCAGGAAAAATTGAGTCTTATGTGCTAGTTAGATTTTTCTAGAACTCATTAAAGTAATTATTAATGTTAAAAATGTTCATTTGAGCATATCACAGATAAGCGAGTCTCACTTAGGAAAAACACTTCATTAAAAAATCTTGACAGCCCTTTATACTCCTAACACTCTCATTCTCTCAATCATTAATTTTAGCCACTGAGTCTTAAATGAAGTGGCCATTAGCAAAATGTACAAGTAATTATAACTCCCAAATCTCCACATAGAGCATCATGACATGCAAGTCCACATTTATCTTACTTTTAAAAGTAAATTCAAACCTTTTTCTTTTTGCTTTCTACCTTTATTTCCCATTTGATTTGGTTGGGATAAGAAAAATTTGTTTGGGTATAATGGAAACAAAAGACACAACTAATAAAGGTGGGGAATATTGAGACCAGCCATGCAGCATACATAGATTGGGAAGACTTCCTGCAGAACATGAGATTTGAAGAGAGTCAGTTAGATGATCAGATTACTATTGCCCAGGCCAATAGTTGGTTAGAGAGCATAGCACAGTCAGACCACCAGGATACCGTAGAAGTGTACAGTGATAAAGACTAACTGGAACTTTGCTGGCCAGGGCTTATGTACTCTATGTAATTGGTAGACTCTACAGGAAGAGTTCTATGATTGTAATTCCCCTTTTCCCCCTTATATAATATACTCTATCTTGGCACATAGACCAGAATGTGCATGTGGCTTGCTATGTCTGTTTGTGCTGAGTTGCAACCCCTTTCTTTTTTCCCCCAATAAATTCTTTTTTGCTGATGAAACACCTGGTTGATTTTAATATTCAGTTGAAAACAGGAACATTTTGCAACGTGGTGCCTGTAGATGACCCAGGTATGTGCAGTAATTCTTCCTATATGTGAGTTACTGTACCTGTTTCCATTAAACCACTTTTACCCCCAGTTACTCTGACACTTCCATACGTTTAGGGCAAGAGTCATCAGTTTTCTGTGTGTCTCTGTGTGATTGTAGAGGACTCAGCAGCCTGGGTTATTGAAGAGTGCTTCAGGGATGGATAGCATTGATAATCGAATCCATGAAAACCCTTTTTGTAGATGAGGCCTTTTCTTTAGGAAATTAGAACTCTCATGGAGGTTTGAATAAGAAACAGGTCTAACCAATTAAACATTCCCTTTGTTCTTGTCTGTCTTTGTGATGGTTGTTGCTGCTGGGTAAGGCTAGAGGAAGGTTTGAAGGGTGATGGATAGGAACAGCATCATGACTTGCAGGTGGGTGAGCCCCACATCGATTTCTCCAGTGTTTTTTTTTTTTACTGAGATGAAACCAGGTCAGGTTGGAATTCTGAGGCAACTGAGAAATACAAAAGCGTACCAAAGGCTGTCTGGAAGGGTGTGTGGAAACAGGGATGGTGTAGTAACACCCACTTGGCTGTATGCAATGGACATGTCCAGGCACTCTGTGGGATATAAACACGGAGCCGGATGCCCAGTTCACTCTGCTTAGATTGATCCGGGGCTTTGAATAAAGGGACTGGTCCATTTGAGTCTTTGTACTTGTCAGGTTTTGTCATGTTGTGAAGACTTAAGAGAAACAGTTTCTCAAGACTTTTTTTACATGCTATTAGGTATGCTGGCTGTTAAACTTTCTTTTCAAAATATGTTTTGATTTCAGAGAGAGGAAGAGGGGGAGAGAAATATCAATGAGAGAAAACATCAATCAGCTGCCTCCTGCACCTTCTCCCCTCCAGGATTGAGCTCCCAACCAGGAATCAAACTGTGTCCTCCTAAATCATAGATCGATGCTTAACCACTGTGCCACATTGGCCAAGTTAAACTGTCTTTCAAGAAAGGCCATTTCAAAATGAAATCATGACTTTGTATATGGTAATAATTTCATAGTTCTAGTTCTAAACCCCAATTAATTTAAAATTAGTCCTGGTTAAGCATGTAGTTTCATATAGAGTGTGCCTAATTCTATCATAGACAACTGGTGATTTTTCTATTGGTAACATGATTGCATATTCCTCTAGAGACTGCCTAAGTCACTAATATGTACACAGGTCTTATGACTATCCCTACATTTAACATGTCAATGTAATAACATTTTTACCTGTACTGATATTAAACTTTCTCACCTTAAAACTTTAAATTCAATTCAAATACTGCAAGATTAAAGTTTATTTTGCTTTTTTAAAACAAAAATGGTACCCTAAACAAAGCCCACTTTGTAATCAGAATCCTTTCCCGCCTTGTATAGGCAGCATAGAAAAATGGTGAGTTATACAAACATGGATTCCAGGAAGTTAAGCAAAAATAATTTGTCATATAAGTAAAGTAGGTTATGAAAATTTTATAATGAATAAAAGAAAAAAAGCACCAAACTGAGAGGGGACAAGAAGGATCCTTTTCCTTCTCTGAACTGCACTGCTTGAACTAAATTAACAAAATCTCCCAAAATAAAAATATTTAAATAATTATTTGAATGTTTTTAAAAGTACTTTTCCCCAGTAAATACCAGGTCAACAACAATAAAACCTGCATCTTTGTTTTATTTTAAACCTTGTTGCTGAAAATAATTTTAAGTGTATTAGTATTATTTACTACTTTAGTGAGTGTCTAGCGATATCTCACCCCTTCTGTGAATTTTGACTGTAGGAAATCTATCGATAGATGGAGGCAATTGTCAAGAATCTGAATTTGGTCCAGCTATGTTCTGGACTCCAGAACATAGCTGGACCAAAGATCCTTTTGATTGAAGAGGTCTCAGTTTTCTTGTGATGAATCTCTCTCAAGTCACACTCCCCTTCTTCGCCCATAAAATAAGACTTCCACTAACTTAAAGGACAGTCTATCAAATCCTGGTATCCGTTTCCATTAAACCACGTTTTCCCCCAGCTACTTGTAAAACCTAAATCTTAAAAAAAAAAAAAAAAAAAAAAAAAAGAGCAGGCATTGACTAGTGGACAAAGGGAATCTTAGTTTTACGGGAAAATGCAGCCCCATAGGAGCCGTGAGCAAATAGATGGTCCGCCACTGAAGTCCTCTGACGTGGTCCCTGCGTCCTCCCGGGGGTTTCCCAGGAGTTCCCACTGTAACCGTGGTAACGTCAGGTTCGCCGCGTTCCAGCCCGGCCTGGTGCCCTTTCCTTCTAGGCAACATGTGATTCCATCGGGTCTTATCACCTCTGAGGACTGAATTCACCCCCTGCCTGTCGCTGCAGGGTATCTTCCCCTCCCCCCCCCCCCGGGAAAATTAAAACATCCCTCAAAAGGATCAAAGAGCTGCTCCACCGCGGAGCCGGAGGAAAGCGGGGACCATGGACCAGATTGGAGGGCCCCGCAGACCTCCTCAGCGCGGGTCTGCAGAAGCCAAAGCGGGGGGTCAGGAGGGTCAGGGCAGGCCTGAGGGATGGAGGCCAAAGGCCCGACCCATCAATCAGGCCGGTGACAGACAACGGCAAGAGAGGGACCGAGAGGCGGGCGGGCCGCGGCGTGACTTCAGGACTCAGAAAGAAAAAACAGGCAAGGACTGGGCGACACCGGAAGGTGTCCGCTGAAGCTGGCGCACCCGTGACTTCGGGAGCGGCGAGGCCCCCGCAGCGCAGGCCGGGAAACGAAATCCCGAGGTCACGGGCCCGGGCGGCACCGCGGCCTCCGGCCTCCCGGGTGGGCGTTTCCCAGAAGCAGCGCGTGCCTCACGTCCTCCGCGCCGGCCTCGCCCCCGCCCACTGCGCACGCGCGCCCGCCCCGCCCTCGGCCCCGCCCCCACCCCCGGGCAGTGGGCGGCGCCAGGAGCCGAGGTGAGGCCGCCCGACTCCCTGCAGCTGCGTGCGCGCGAGCCGCCGCCGCCGCCGCGTCAGGGCCGCCGGCCCGCCCTCCCGAGGCCCCGCCTCCGCGCTCCGTTTCCCCCTCACCTCCCCCTCCGACCGGAGCGGTGACTTAAGCAACAGAGCGCCGTGAAGCCTATATTTTCTCCCTCCTCGCCGCGGTGCAGGGCAGCCCCCCCGCCCCTCCGGCCCGCGGCCCGCACTCCGGCCCGAGATGAATGCTGCGGCAGAAGCCGAGTTCAACATCCTCCTGGCCACCGACTCCTACAAGGTAGGGGCTGGGGCGGGGCAGGTGAGGGAGGAGGGGGCGCCCTGGGGGCGAGCGCGGGGTGGCGGGGGGTTGGGGGCGGCTGGAGCGGGACCGTGCGCCGGGCAGCCCCGCGGGAGGGTGCGCGCAGCGGGCGGCGCGGGCAGGTGAAGCCGGCGCCGCCTGGGGCGGGCGGTGGACGGAGGAGGGATGGAAGGATGGACGGCAGGAGGCGGGGCCTGGCGGAGCGTGGTGGGGGGGCGCGGCGAGGGGCCGAGGCGGGCCCGGCCGGCGCTGCACGCTCGCCGGCGGGCTCTCCCTCCGCCCCGGGTTCGGGGCTCCGGGCGCGAGGCGCGGGGCGCGGGCCGGGCTGGCTGGGGCGTCTCCGGCCGCGAGGACGCCTGGCCCAGGACCTCGGCCTCTTGGCGCCGGGCCGGGCCGGCCGGGCTGGGAGAGGGCTCGCCCTAGGAGCGGGTCAGTTAAGTAACAGCCCCTGAGACTCGGCGGTGGAGGGAGGGAGGGAGGGAGGGAGGGAGCGGGGTTTGAGCAGTGGGGTTTCCGAGCTCCAGCTATTGCTAGGCAGATTTTTGTCCCTTTTCCGAGGAGGGGTGGGCGAGGTCCTATGGGGGTACCGCCTGCGGCTGGGAGCTGAGGACACTCGTCTGTCCCCCGTGGCCCCGTGCTGGGTGTCTCCGTCCCGCTCCCTGGGCTCCGTTTCAAACTTTTTTTTGCTCCTGCTGATCCCTCGTGATCTTTCACCCCTGCCCTTACTCCACCAAGGCCACTGCAGGATTTCTGTGAAATGGAAAGTGAAACGCGAGAACTTCAATGAACTGCAGTTAACAATCCTGGAGAATTTATATGCGTATTGATGGGACTGTTGCATGCATAGCGGCCCCATTTAATTTTATTTGAAAAAACACACGCATTAGGAAAGGGAAAGAAATGATTGGGGGGGGGGGGAATCTGCCAGGTGTTTACTCCCCTACTTTCGGAGTGCCGTTAGATATTAAGTAGGTAACAGAACTTACTCCGTGACCTTGGGCATGTCACCCCATGTGCTCTTTTAGGTACATGGCATTGCTAAAGTGTTGGCTTGTGATTATTTGTTAAAGGTTAGGAATAAAATCATAACTGGAAATTAAAAATAAAATTATAACTGGAAATTATAAGTGGGCTAGTAATTGTTGTCTTTGGTCATGTGGTCCATTGTGGCAGGAAAGCTTCTTGGAAAGGTAAATCAACCTTGTGGGAAATCTAGAACTCAGGAGCAAGTTAGACTTTACTCTCACAAAATTATTTTGTGCAGCTTAAATATTTCTCATACTTTTCTTTAAATGTCATGCTTGGGGTTACAACATTTAGAAGCTTATCTTTTCATGAAGTACACAATTACATAACTGAAATTGTTTCTTAAAAGAACTACATTTTCCTGTGTGCCTGTTTTTTATGACACATATATTTATGTACTGGTAGTGCTCTGTTAGCTACAAAAGGCCATACCAGTTTAGGAAACATTTTTAGGGAAAAGGTTTGCTGAAAATACGAGAGATTTATTTTCTCTTCATTTGTAAATAATTTTAAAGTTATTGTGGAGCCGTTTTCTCTAATAATCTAAGTCAAAACAATGCTTTAAAAAATATGATTTGGTCTTAGCCAGTTTGGCTCATGGGCCTGCAGGCTGAAGGGTCCCAGGTGATATTCTGGTCAAGGGCACATGACTGGGTTGTGGGCTCGATCCCCAGTAGGGGGCATGCAGGAGGCAGTCAATCAGTGATTTTCTCTCATCCTTTATGTTTCTATCTCTTCCTCTTCCTTCCTCTCTAAAATCAATTGTGTGTGTGTGTGTGTGTGTGTGTGTGTGTGTGTGTGTGTGTAGATTTGAGCTCCCTTTTGTAGTTCACTTTAATTTTGAATACTATGAAACTTTTTGTTAGTATTGCTTAACATTTTTTTAAATGGAGCTCACAATTTCTCTATTCATTCCAAGGCCTCCCCCATCTCACTAAATGGCAGCATTTACCCAGGTGCTCAAGCCAAACATTTAGGAGACATCCTTAATTCCTCTCCTTCCTTATCCTCCAGATCTAACCTATCAGCCTAATTTCCCTTTACCTCCAAAGAGATTGAGCCATTGCTCTCACCTAGCCTAGTAGTCTTTAGCAGTAGCCTCTCACCTGATGCCCCTCTTCTGCCCTGTACTCCAGTTCTCCACCTCACTGCCAAGTGATCCTTGTAAAATGTAAATCACCTAGCTTAAAACACACTAATGGCTTCCCTTTGCTCTTGATATAAATTCAAACTCCTTGTTGTAGCCTGTAACCCTTACGCTGTTCTTGTCTCTGCATCTCTCTCTGACTTCAAGACCATGTACCTCTTCCCCATTCCTCCTCCCCATTCTCTAAGCACCAGCCACGCATTCTTTTCTGTCCTTTGAGACAAGTTATTTCATACCTCCTTGTCATTTAGGTCTTGCTCACATGTCACCATCTCAGAGAAGCCTCCTGGTACCCCATTTGAAGTACTCTCCCAGGCTCACTCTAGCCCACCATTTTCTTTCCATTTTTCATAGCATCCACCTAAACCTGACATTATTTTGCTTGTTTATTATTTTCTGACTTTTCAGCCTTCTTGAGCCCTATGAGGATAGAAACTACTTTAGTCTATTTCTCTGTCCTCAGCATCTGAAACAGTGCCTGATATATAGTAGATACAGCATATACATAGAGGGTGGGGCAAAAGTAGGTTTACAGCTTATGAGTCCAGGAAATAGTTTATTCTTGTATTACATACTCATTATTGAATTACTTCCCATATGAACATTGTAAACCTACTTTGCCCCACCCTGTATATTTGTGGATGAATGAACTATTTATAAAATCTGTTGATTTCAGTTTCTGCTGTATTCATCTCAATTTCTGGTGACGGTTTCAAGGGGTTCAGAGTGACCAGTTTAGCGAAAGTAAAATGAAGAGAGCAGGAAACCTAGCAAAAGTAGAATTATTATAAACCATCCTTTATTTGTATTTTTAGAATAATATTTTTAAGAAGATTTGTATAAAATGTTTTCCCTTAAAACAACGTTATATGCCAATATAAATAGATCTGAACATACAATTTTCTTCTATAAAGTATTGGGTGATAGTAGGTGGTTAATAGTAAATTATGTTTCATGTTTAATTGCCTGATAGTTTACTTAGAAGACTTAGATTCTTTAGCTAAATTCTAAAACTATTAAGTTTTTCCAAAGAAGATTTTAGAAGTCACTTCATTTCTAATTTAGCAGCCAAGATAATTTCATGTTTTTAATGACATTTGTTTTTAGAGGAGACATTCCGAATATTTATGCACAGTTTTGAAGTACCATAATTAAAAAACACAGCCAAAGTAAAGAACTGAACTGTATCAGTAAGATAAAAAATTTTTAATATATTTTTAGACCAAGATGGATTTACATAGTTAGGGACATTTCCATTTAATTTTTGACTGGTTGGTCTACTCAGAAGATGAAAATAATTTGTTTGTGTTTTGATACTTTTAAATCTGATATAGAAAAAGTAAATTTATAAAAATGCACCGTTAAGTATCTGAACTCAGATAGTTGAGAGTCACAACTATGAATCTGATTTTTATGAACTTGCCTGATGCAATCTAGATCTTTATTCATATTTTACTTCATCATAATTGAGTTTTCTTCTATCTCTCTGCTAATTTCCATTAAAGTAGTTGGAATTATTTATATTGTAAACTGGACATTTTCATTTTTATATACACATTAGATACATTTTTAGTGGTATCTTTTCTAATCAGTTTTATAACCAAAGTATCATTCACATATATGTGTATGTATATAGATATAAATGTTGTTTTTTAATGTTTTTATTGACTTTTTAGAGAGAGAGAGGAAGAGAGGGAGAGAGATAGAAACATCAATGATAAACACATCGATCGGCTACCTCCTACATACCATCCCTACTGGGGATCAAGCCTGCAACCTGGGCATGTGCCCTGACTGGGAATCAAACCCTCACCTCCTGGTTCATAGGTTGACACTCAACCATTGAGCTACACTGGCTGGGCTAGATGTTGTTTTGCATTTTAGTGAATTGCCTAATAGATTTAAATGCTCTGGACTTAATAATGGTATCAGTCCCTGGGTTCTAACCTGAAAGAAACTAGCAAATACTTTTAGATATTGATGAGGTATATAGGTAATCCATCATACCTGAGCGAAACAGTTCTAATTCTGTTGCCTGACTTAGGCAATCAGGCCACATATTAATGTAAAGATTGCCTGTAAGGAATATGAGGGTGCTGTTTTTATAGAGTTGCAAGTTACTTCTATTGAAGAGGAAACTAAAATAATTTTTAAATTTGTGGGGTTATTTTGCTCTTTCTACAGAGTATATTCATTTTAGATGAATAGCTAATGTTTACAGAGGTCATCTATGAACTTTGGTCTGCAAAAATTTATTCTACCATTAACCTGAATTACCACCCAATTAAGGCATTATTAACTACTCTTTCAACTAGGAAAATAAATGGATATTATTCTTCCAGTTATTTCTTATTGGTAAATGTTTTAACCACATTGAAATATAATAAAATTCAAATTATAATGAACACTCACTTTATTTTTTCTTGAAACAAAAACAGATAATTTTTCTCAGTGACTTTTACTCAATTTGATGGAAATTTGTGATAATAACATCTTTATATTTTTAAGCTTATAAGGGTTTGATATTGTATTGTATAGGCATTTCTTTCACAATTCAGATGTAATTTGACAAAAGGAAAGACTACAAAACAAGAATTTTTTTTTTTTTTTGGCTGCTTTTGCTGTTTTTGCTTTCATTCAGGTTTTCAGTGTCATTGTGAAGACTAGAAGAGTTCATTCTCATTACCTCATTATACAGATGAAGAAATAGAGTCTTGAGAAATAATGACTGTTGACTTATCAAACACACTACATCTAGATAGGAATAGGACCAAATTTTGCTTTCAGTTCATTCTTTTATATGGTATATGTGCGCTCCTCCTGTCCCCCTCAGGCAGCTGCATCTCTCTTCCCTTGAATGAAAACTGTTCCCTGAGATCAAATAAGACACTTGTCTTTGTACTGTACCAAATGGGCAGCTTAGAAACCTTTTGCTTCCTTAAGTTCATCTGCTTGTTTATAAAATTTCATACTCTCTTGTGGTTTTGAATTTAAGATACTGAACTATTAAAAGTATCTTAATAAGTATTTCTTATTTTTTATTTTTATAGCCAGTAAAAGGAGCTGATCAATTGCAAATAAATATAGTTTCTCTGGTTTTAAATAATTTCAAGCCCTTTCTGTTGTGATTTATAGTCCATTCTTCTCATGTTTTCTAACTCAATTATTTTTCTCTTGTAGGTTACTCACTATAAACAATACCCACCCAATACAAGCAAAGTTTATTCCTACTTTGAATGCCGTGAAAAGAAGACAGAAAACTCCAAAATAAGGAAGGTGAAATACGAGGAAACAGTATTTTATGGGTTGCAGTACATTCTTAATAAATACTTAAAAGGTATTATTTGTCCTATAAATTTAAAACAATGCTTTTACATAAAACTTCATAATTTTTCTCCTATTTTATATTCTGTTATCTAAAGTAGCATTTTGAATAGTCTAATTTTGATATTTATTTAATGCTTTAACTACTTTAAGAGCCTTGGAATTTAAAAAATCTTAAAATAATATTTACTAATATCATTAGTAATACTTTAAATCTTAGAATTTTGTGTGTGCTAGTGTTCTCAATATAAGGAAGATTTTCTGAAACTAGTAAATTTGGGGATAAGTCTAGAAAAGTCACTAAATGGGGTCTGGTGTGGGCAGGCAAAGGGGTGGTATGGGGACATCTGTAATAGTGTCAACAATAAAAATAAAGTTAAAAAAAATTTTTTAAGTCACTAATTTTCCAAGGCAAATCTGGTTTGTTAATAGACTTTAATCATTAATTCAAAATGAAGGATTTACTAGTATTATTGACCTGGGAACTCATTTTGAATTGTGGTAGCAATTATAATTAGAATATTTTTATGCTAGTCAGTTTTACCATAAAGTCTTATTTTTCAAAACTACCTCTAACTATGAAGTCTTATTTTTCAAAACTACCTCTAACTATTAGTCCCAAATGCATATAAAAGCAGAAAAACCCCCCAAATAATTTCTTTGCCTTTTTACTTGAAAGTCCATTTCTAGTCTGTTTCCTAATATTATTTCTAGGAGGCAAAACAGTTTCCAAGGATTTTATGTATTTTGAAAAATTTCGTCTTTAGTCTTTTCAAATAAAAAATTGAACATAGATTAAGTTGAATTTTTATTTAATAACCTTTCCCATAATCTTGGCAATTTTAAGATTAGACTGTTCAGATATGTTACATCTGAAAACTACTTGGTATCCAAAGTACTTCTTTTGCAGCAAGACCTCCCAAGATATTTTAAATAAGTTTATTAGTGATCTTATATTGAGAAAGTTACCAAAAGACTGATGTCACACTTCAATTCTACAGATTAAAAATTTCATAATAGTTATTAATTATAACAAAACTAGAGGCCTAGTGCACAAAATCTATGCAAGGGGGTGGGAGGTCCCCTCAGCCCAGACTGCACTCTCTCCAATCTGGGACCACTGGCTCTTAACTGCTTGCTTGTCTGCCTGATCGCCCCTAACTGCCCCCACTGCTGGCCTGGTCACCCTCAATTGTCCCCCTTGCCGGCCTAGTCACCCCTAACTGCCTCCCCACACCGGCCTGGTTGCCACATGCAGCCTGCTGCTCGGTCGTTTGGTCACCCCTCACTAACTCCCCTGCCTGCCTGGTTGCCCCATACAGCCTGTTTGGTCGTTCTTTAGGTTGCAATGGTTGCTTAGGCTTTTATTTATATATATATACATATATATATATATGTATGTATATATATGTATATATATGTATATATATGTGTGTGTGTGTGTGTGTGTGTGTGTGTGTATATATATATATATATATATATATATATATATATATATATAGACTAGAGGCCTGGCGCACAAAATTCTTGCACAGGGCATTGGGGGGTGGGGTGGGGGGGGGGGGTGTCCCTCAGCCCAGCCTGCACTCTCTCCAATCTGGGATATCCTTCTCACTACGTAGGACTCCTGGCTCCTGCTTGCCTGCCTGCCTGATTGCACCTAACCGCTTCTGCCCGCCAGCCTGATCAGCGCCTAACTTCTCCCCTGGTGGCCTGATTGCCGCCAACTGCCCTCCCTCCCCTGGCCATCCCTAACTGCCCTCCCCTGCTGACCTGGTTGCCCTAACTGTCCTCCCCTGCCGACCTGGTTGCCCTAACTGCCCTCCCTTGCCGGCCTGTTTGCCCCCAATTGCCCTCCCCTGCCGGCCAGGTCCCCCAAAACTGCCCTCTCTCTTGCAGGCCTGGGTCCCCCATAACTGTCCTCCCCTGCAGGCCTGGTCCCCCACAACTGCCTCTTCTGCCAACCCAGCAGCCCTAACTGCCCTCCGCTGCTAACCTGATCATCCACAGCTGCCCTCCCCTGCTGGCCATCTTGTGTGTTAGAGTGATGTTCAATTTGTATATTACCTCTTTATTATGTAGGATATATTGATTTCCTATTATAAGCCAGCATTATTCTAAGTGCTTCATATATTATAACTCAGCCCCCACAACCACTTAAACAAGTAGGTACTCTACTATTTTTATCCTCATTTTACAGATAAAGAAAATTTAAAGTATCTTTGGGGGGCAAAATGTAGTACATTATTGGATTATCAGCCCTGAAGATAACTTTTAAGAATAAAGTGAGAAGGTTCACCTAAAAAAATCATCTGTATCAAAGGCTTACTCTTAAATTTGAAGTGAATTAGAAGTAAATTTATTTATAATTTAATAAATTAGAAGTTAATTTATTGTAATTTAAAAAAATACATGTTATAATTTCTTCTGCACATTTACCTTTCAAATAAGAATCAGTACACTTAGACTGAGTGATTAAAAGTGCAAATTCAGCCTGGCTGGTATGCTCAGTGGTTGAGTATAGACCTATCAATCAGGTCACAGTTCTATTCCTGGTTTTTGGGTTTGATTCCCAGTAGATGGTGTGCAGGAGGCAGCCAATTAATGATTCTCATAATTGATGTTTCTATCTTTCTCTATCATCTCTCTTCCTCTATAAAATCAACCAACATTTATTATATATAAAAGTGCAAATTCATTTTCTGGCTTTGCTGTTGATTTTGGATGAGTTATTTGACCTCTCAGTTCTTGTTTTTTTATCCACAGAATGGGTGAAAAAACAACAGACATTAATCTTATGACAGCTCAACAGTTCACAGAATGTCTTAAAAAATGTAAACAAGAAATGTTTATCTTTTTAGGTAAAGTAGTGACCAAAGAAAAGATCCAGGAAGCCAAAGAGGTATACAAAGAACATTTCCAAGATGATGTATTTAATGAAAAAGGATGGAATTACATTCTTGAGGTAAAAACTGGTTTCATGTTTTGGTCTACTATTTTGGTTTTACATTTACTTCAAAATTTCTTGCAAAGGAGTTTGAATAGAAGATTAGACTATAATTATAACTCTTTTCTGTCTGTGACCTAAGTTTGATGGCTACTTTAGACATTATTGTGAAAAATTAATGGTAACAGTAAAACTTATTTTTTTTATTGCCAATCATTACTGTCTAGAATCTACAGCAAGTCTAATTTGTTATAATATAAATGAACTATAATGTAAATAACTTTTTTTTAAGGAAGGTAATTTAACCCTTTCTTTGAAAATACACTATAATTTAAAAAGGACATGGTTAGTTGGCAACTTCAAAATTTAGGTCTATTTCTTGATTATAAGTTATCTAAGAAAATAATTGCTTGAATCTGTCACTACATAATAATTCTAGGAAATTTCCCTTACTAAGTAGTTAGAATGGTTTGATGCCGATCCATGTAGTTGAATTTTATTCTTTGTTTGCACAGTAATATATCTGGCATGTTTGGAATCATTGCTTAAACTTTGGGCATCCAGAGACATGAGAATTAAGTTTACGTCCTTTGGTGTTTGCTTGTTTTTTTATTACAAAGATAGATTGGAAATTGTATCTATTGCATCATGTCATGTTAAGTATTAGTTAATTTACATCTTAAAAATGTATATATTTTCCATTGTAGACTATTAAACACAAAATAATTAGAAATATTTTAACTTTCATGCCTATCTAGTAATAATCAAATTTTACTTTTTGTTACTTATGAGTCTTTGAAGAAGTCAGTTAAGCACTCTGTTCTGTAGCTTTTCCATATTTAAGTGAAATCTGTTGGGTAGCCGAAACTGGTTTGGCTCAGTGTCGGTCTGCGGACTGAAAAGTCCCAGATTTGATTCTGGTCAAGGGCATGTACATTGGTTGTGGACACATCCCCAGGAGGGGGTGTGCAGGAGGCAGCTGGTCGATGTTTCTCTCTCATTGATGTTTCTAGCTCTCTATCCCTCCCTTCCTCTCTGTAAAAAAATCAATAAAATTTATAAAAAAATCTGTTGGGTAACTTGTAAACTTGCCCCATTTGGTTTTTTGTGAGCATAATATTAATATATGTCAGGTACTATGCTTATTAATACAACTTCTAGTGGCCAAGATGATTAATGTTTTGATTTTATGTTCAGAGAATTTTAGGGATTCATAGGTTCTCTAGAGATAATCTTGTCTAACCATATTTTATAAGGAAATCTGAGACCTAGAAATGTTAAAAGACTTGTCCAGGTTTTTCCTACCTGCTTTTGAATTCAAGGCAAGACTTCTAAGGCAGTATTCTTTCTGCTCTATCTTGAGGTCCTCAGTGCTTTTTTAAAATATATTTTATTTATTTCAGAGAGGAAGGGAAAGGGAGAGAAACATCAATGATGAGATAGAATCATTGATCAGCTGCCTCTGCACACCCTCTACTAGAGACAAAATCAGCAATCTGGGTATGTACCCTGACCAGGAATCGAGCTGTGACCTCCTGATATATAGGTCGATGCACAACCACTGAGTAACACCAGCCAGCTAAAGAGATTTAATATATATAAGTTGTGGATGATCAGGTTAGCAGCGGAGATATATATATTTTAGATAAAATATAAATTAAGCTGGTATTGTTTCTTGACTTTTTGAATTTTTTAGAGAGAAAGGAAGAAAGGGAGATAGATAGAAACATTGATGAGAGAGAAATATCATTGATCAGCTGCCTCCTTGCAATGTCTCCCAACAGGGACTAAGCCTGCAACCTAGGCATGTGCCCTGACCAGGAATTGAACTATGGCCCCTTGGTTCCTGGCTCAATGCTTAACCACTAAGCTATATTGGCCGAGCTAAACAGATTTTTAAAATTCTAGTTACCTAGTCCAAAATCACGTAAATAAACGTAGATATCTGAAACAACTTGCCTTCCTAACCAAAAGTTAGCCACAACTTTTAGCTTTAGAAGTAGGGAGGCATAATTAAATATCTAGTAATATCCTATGTAGCAAATACATTCTTAGCCTAATTTTGAATAGAATTATTGACTTTTTAAAAAAAATACATTTTATTGATTTTTTACAGAGAGGAAGGGAGAGAGATAGAGAGCTAGAAACGTCGATGAGAGAGAAACATCGACCAGCTGCCTCCTGCACACCCCCTACCTGGGATGTGCCCGCAACAAACGTACATGCCCCTGACCGGAATCGAACCTGGGACCTTTCAGTCCACAGACCGACGCTCTACCACTGAGCCAAACCGGTTTTGGCAAGAGAATTATTGGCTTTTGATATCAATAACCAAAGCTCTAGAAAGTGTACTATCTACTACCAATACAATTTCAGATCTACACAAGAATAAAGAGAAAACCTATTTAGGGTTCTTCTACTAGCAGGGATCTCAGTCTGTTTCCTCTGTGTGTGTGTGTGTGTGTGTGTGTGTGTGTGTATGTGTGTTTTATTTTGCTTCTTTATTTTGCTCTTTAATAGTGTTCCCTTATTTCGTCTTTCTGTCTTTAGCCTTTCTTTTATGAAAATGACCTACTTAGAAGAAAAGTAGTGTTTGGGGAATACTTTTGGAATATGTTGGAATTTTGTTTTGTCTTGTTTTGAATGAATGAAGGGAAGCAACACTTTTTTTTTTATTAATTTAAATTTATCTGTATCTTTTAATAATAAATATTTGTAGCAGAAGCACTTAGACAACATGAAATTTAAAAGTTGATTTCAGTACCTTAGCTGTTAGCTAATTTTATTTTAGGAGAATAAGGATATTCTGACTATCTTACTAACATAATAACATCTACAATTGCAGTTTCTATTATAATAAGGTTAGCTTTTGTAAAATGTAAAGAACCTGATTATAAAAACAGGTAACTGTATATCATCAGTTGAATGAAATGAATTCATTATCGTCTCTTACCAGAAATACGATGGGCATCTTCCTATAGAAGTGAAAGCTGTTCCTGAGGGCTCTGTCATTCCCAGAGGAAATGTTCTCTTCACAGTGGAAAACACAGATCCCGAGTGTTATTGGCTTACAAATTGGGTTGAGGTAAGTTATTTTGTTTTTAATTCTTAATTTGCATTAATTGAAGATGTAAAAACCATTCAATTGAGATTCTAATTTAAAAATTACTACTAATAAGGTGATGTCACCTCCTACAATTTAGTAAACCTTTACAATTCTCAATTTCCTCACCTATAAAATGACATTTGAACTAAATAATCTTTAACGTTCCTTGCAGTGAAATCTAATGTTCTGAGATTTTTATCTAAATCAAATTATTAATTATTTCTATTAAAGCTTAGCTAATTTTCATCTCATTTGTTGCAGTCCTAAGAAAAAAATTAGAAAAACAGCATAGGTATATTTTTGATGATTTAAGGCATTTTTTGGAAATTGTTTCAATTAGACTAAAGGCATTTTTGTTCAAATTTTTAATAATTGCTTTCTCTATTCTTATCTAATTAATTAAGAGCCTAGGCTCTACCTCCTAATATTTCTCATCTAGCTACATTCAAGATTCACTTCAAGATTCACTGATTATTTGATTTCTGAGCCTCAACAGAGGCTACATTATAGGCTCTGAGTTTATATTACAAAGTTTTTTGTTTTCCTTGGATTTATTCCTAAGTAATATTTTTTCACATGCTTATAGTTTTGATACTAATAAGCTACTTAGCTCCTCACAGCTTAATTTACACTTGATCTTAGTTAAAAGGCCAAGAAGCAAAACCAGCCTAACATATCTTTACTAATAAAAGGTCTGTGGCCATCACAACCAAATGAGCAGTGGCAGGCGGGGCGGGGTGCAAGCTACTAGCAGCAGAGAGCTATGAGCGGCGGGAGGCGGGAGGCGGGAGGCGGGAGGCGGGAGGCGGGAGGCGGGAGGCGGGAGGCGGGAGGCGGGAGGCGGGAGGCGGGAGGCGGGAGGCGGGAGGCGGGAGGCGGGAGGGTGGAGGGTGGAGGGTGGAGGGTGGAGGGTGGAGGGTGGGATGTGAGCTACAAGCAGCAATGGGCGAGGTGGCCAGCTGAGGCAAGCAGAACCAAGCTACTACTCATTCACAGTTTCATGCACGCTGGGCCTCTAGTTTTATCTATAAAAGAAAATATTCTGGAAAGTGACTATAGAAATATCATATTTATTTTTGAGAGGTGTTTGCTTAGTGCTTAGAACTGATTCTTTATCTTATTAGTTTATTAGTTAAACTAATGTGTTATTGCATAGTAGTTCATTTATAAAAATTAGAGAAGAAAACACATCCAAAAATATGTTTGAAATTCATTTTTGCTAAATGAATTTTGCTAAATTTAAAACTTTTATATCAAACTCTTAATGAGCCATCAACTAATAATAGACTAATGGGCTTAAAAAAATGTTCAATTAACTAAAATGCAGATTTTAAATAGTTCACTGCTATGTCTTAAAACTTTGAATTAAAAAACTCAAAATAAAAGAACATGTATCTCTTATTAGTTTTGTATAATTGTTATAGTATTTGTACTGGAAAATATTTATTTTAGGGGAATGGTATTATGAAAACACAACAGTGGAGGGTTCTTAATCATATAGTCTGTCATTTTACCTTCAATGATGCCAAAAGATTCTAAATAGATAAATCTTATTGTGAAAATCATCATCTGTGGATTAACTTTTTCTCAATTTTTTTCTGGTTTCCTGATTGAGAATTTAGTCAATAAGTACTATTCCCTTATGTTTAATTGAACTTCCATAAAGCAGATATTTATGGACAAAGAACTAGCTCCCAGTCTACCTTCTTTTTTTTATTATTATTTTAATCTTTATTATTCAGTTTATTTCAGATGTTCCTCCTTTTTTCCCCCCAGAGCTCCCCTCCACCTGGTTCCCTCCCCACTCCAGGCCTTCCCTACCCCATTGACCTCATCCATAGGTATAAGCTCTTTGTCCAATTTCTTCTTGCACCCCCCACAACTTTTCCTCCCGAGAATTATCAGTTTGCTCCCTTTCCATGCCCCTGATTCTGTTATATTCACCAATCTGTTCTGTTCATCAGGTTTTTTATTCATTTGATTTTTAGGTTCACTTGTTGATAAGTATTTGTTGTCACTTTGTTGTTCATAATTTTTTATCTTTACCTTTTTCTTCTTCTTCCTCTTCTTAGAGAATACCCTTCAGCATTTCATATAATACTAGTTTGGTGGTGATGAACTTCTTTAGTTTTTTATTTCTGTGAAGCTCTATCTGACCTTCAATTCTAAATGATAACTTTGCTAGGTAGAGTAATCTTGGTTGTAGGTTCTTGCTGTTGATCATTTTGAATATTTCTTACCACTCTCATCTGGCCTGCATAGTTTCTGTTGAGAAATCAGCTGACAGTGTATGAGAACTCCCTTGTAGGTAACTGTTTTTCGCTTGCTGCTTTTAAGATTCTCAATTGGTCTTTTGCTCTTGGCATTTTAATTATGATGTGTCTTGTTGTGGTCCTCTTTGGATTCCACTTGTTTGGGGTTCTCTGTGCTTCCTGGACTTTAAGTCCATTTCTTTCACCAGGTGGGGGAAATTTTCTGTCATTATTTCTTCAAATAGGTTTTCAATATCTCGCTCGCTCTCTTTTTCTGGCATCCCCATAATTCAGCTGTTGTTACACTTTAAGTTGTCCCAGAGGCTCCTTACACTATCTTCACATTTTTTGGATTCTTTTTTCTTTTCCGGTTGGGTGTTTTTTGCTTTTTTGTATTTCAAATCTTTGACTTGATTCTTGGGATCCTCTAGTCTGCTCTTGGATCTCTATATATTCTTTATTTCAGTCAGTGTATGCTTAATTTCTGGTTGGTCCTTTTTCATATTTTTGAGGGTTTCACTAAATTTCTCAGGTTTTTAGAAGGTTCTTGAAAACCCTTATAACCGTGGTTTTGAACTCTATCCAGTATTTTGCTTTCCTCCATTTCTTTCATTTGTGACTTATTTGTCTCCACATTTAGACTGCTTCCCTGTGTTTGTTTCTATGTACTGGGTAGCTGCTAAGTCTCCTTAAGTTGATAGAGTGGCCTTTTGTGCTAAGTGTCCTATATGGCCCAGTGGCTCAGCCTCCCTAGTCACCCGAAGTGGATACTCTTGGTGCACCCCTTTGTGGGCTGTGTGCACAGTCTTATTATAGTTAACCCTTGATTGCTGTTGGTATCATTGGGAGGAATTGACCTCCAGGCCATTTGGCTTGATGACCAGCTATGTCTACTCTGGAAGATCTGTTGCACAAAAGACACCCTTATGAGGCAGGACTTGCTTTAGTGGGGCTTTGGTGCTCAGAGTCTGTCCCTTGAGTGTGTGTCTCTTATGAATGTGAAGAGCTGTAATCCAGTATGGTCTCATTTTGACCACGGGGTACACTGGCTCTTGGTTCCCCAAAGAGGTGCAAGATCAGCTACTGTCTAGGACCGCCCAGCAGGAGCTAAAGAGAATCTGCAGATTCCTCTTCTTTGTATGAGGTTTGGAAGTACCCAGACAAAGCCCACCTATGAAACAAGGCCAGCTGCTGCTGCCAAGCCTTGGGCCTTCTTTTGGAAGCTATGGGGCTCTCTGACACAGCTGCAGTTTGACAGGTTTTTATGCAAAAGCCGATGTGCACAGGTTGGGTGGGGTTGTAAATTGGGTGGGGCAGGGTCTCTGGGAATCACCTGGGAAGAGCAAACAACAATGGCTGCACTGGAGAGGTCCCCAGGACTCGGGGTCCTGCGCCCCCGGGCAGAGACAAGGATCACTGTGAGCACCTCTGAGAGAAAGCTGCCCTCGCATTTCTGTCCCGATGCCAGACAGACCAGTTTCTCCCCGTATGTGTCTTGCCCGGAACTGGAGTTCAGAGCAAATGGGAGCTTGTATCTTCCTCCCAGTTTAAAGAGCAGCACATCCAGGTGCCAGCACTTTCTGTGCCTCCAGACCTCTTACCTGTCTCAATGCGCTTTCTTTACCTCTCTAGTTGTGGAACTTCCACTTAGCCAGCTTTCCTGTGGTTCTGGATGGTAGTTGTTCTGCCTTTTAGTTGTAATTTTGATGTGGTTTTGAAAGGCAGCAAGTATAGGTGTTTATGCTGCCATCTTGGTTCTCCAGTCTACCTTCTTCATGTACATTTTTATTCTCTTCAGAAAGTGAAAAAACATAGCCTTAAAAAATAAACTTCTTTTAATAATCATTATTGTTTTGGTTTATTTCACCAAAGAAACATAAAGTAAAAAATTTTATATATAGACACCTTAGAGCACTAGTTCATTAGCAAATATATAAATATTTTAATTTTAACAATTATTAAATATGAAATCCAATGTGAGACTTAGATTTTGAAGAAAAGAAAAAGTACATAGTTCCTTGTTTTTATTTGCTTATAACCTGAAATAACTAATACTAACTTTATCTTCTATCCTAATATATATCAGTAGAAATTCAGTGCATGAAATCATGCACCAGTGGGTTCCCTCAGCCTAGCCTGCAGGATCAGGCTGAAACCTGCTCTCTGACATCCCCCCGAGTGGTCCAGGATTGCAAGAGGGCACAAGCTGGGCCGAGGGACCCCACTAGTGCATGATCAGGCAGGGAGGGAACACGGGAGGGCTCCGGGGCATGTCCAGACAATCTTGCTCAGTCCCAATTGACCCAACCCCAGCAGCAAGCCAACCTACCCGGTCGGAACATCTGCCTCCTGGTGGTCATTGCATGTCATAGCAACTGGTTGACCAGTCGACTCTCTATCCCCTGGTGGTCAGTGCATGTCATAGTAACTGGTTGACCAGTCGACTCTCTGCCCCCTGGTGGTCAGTGCATGTCATAGTGACTGGTTGACCAGGTGACTGTCTGCCCCCAGTGGTCAGTGCATATCATAGCAACTGGTTGAGCGGAATATCATTAGCATATTATGTTTTGATTGGTTGAATGGACGACTGGATACTTAGCATATTAGGTTTTTACTATATAGGATTTTAAATAATTTCAGGTATTTTTAATTAGGCACAAAAAACATGGTCTGGCCCAGACCAGTTTGGCTCAGTGGATAGAGCATCGGCCTGCGGACTCCAGGGTCCCGGGTTCGATTCCGATCAAGGGCATGTACCTGAGTTGTGGGCACATCCCCAGTAGGGGGTGTGCAAGAGGCAGCTGATCAATGTTACTCTCTCATCGATGTTTCTGGCTTTCTATCCCTCTCCCTTCCTCTCTAAAAAATCAATAAAATATATTTTTTTTAAAAACATGGTCTGACAATCCCTTATTGTAATTTCTGATTGACCAATGCTTTATAAAACAGTGTGTATACTCTCAATAACAGTTCTCTAAAAGAGACTTGTTCATGGTAACTCTGCATTCTTTGTGGCTTTTATGTAGGGTTAAAGGAGGTTCATCCTATTTTTACTCATCCCTAACACAACTTTACCACCTTGTATTTGAAATATGTTACCAAATTCAATAAATTTTTTATTTATAAATTGAAGATTTCCTTCAGGTAATTCTTGATTTAGAATATTTAAAATAATAGTACTAAATAGGGCTCCTTTTAATTTATTTTCATTGTTATTAATAACATTCTTTAATTGTTAATAACCATACACTGTTATTCCCCATATACTGACCTTTAAAAACCACTAAAATTATTGAATTGCTTTATCAATTTCAATATTAGTTCTAGAAGAAATTTTAGTCCTCAAATCAAATTTTAAATCATGTAAGAGGGGAGTCTCAGACATTAGAAGAGCTAAGGATTGAATGTATTAGGCTAAACTTAATTGTCTCTTTCAACCAACAAAACAAAACAAAATCTGTTGCTGTTAAAAAGTGACTTGAAAAATCATTAATCCAATAGCCCTCATTTTACAGATGGGGAAATTGAGTCCTGAGAGATGAATGAATTGTAGTTTACACTGGAGTATAGGTTTAGTCCCCTTCCTGTTATACCACACCATTTTTTATTCCTTAAAATTCTTTATCCTGCACAGTACATTATAATAAACACATCTTAATGAAATTTGCAGGTTCATTTACTTTAGTCTTAGTTTTCAGCTGAAAATTTAACCTTGATTTGTGTGGGCAAATTGCTGTTTTGGAAAAATTTCCAACAAGGCCTACTTTATTAGACCTTGGATTAACCCAAACTAACTTGCCTTTTTTTTTCCTTGCTTACACCTACAGTGATCTTTTTTAAAGGGGACTGATTTTATTAAGAGTATAATTTAAGCTGATTTTGTTGGACTATGGAAAGGAAATGGTGATGTGAAGGATCACTGTGTCTGATAGTTATTTCCTTCCTTCCCTGGCATTTTTTCAAGGGGTAAGGTCAATCTTCTACCTTTATAACTCAACTAGAGTCGTTCGCATTGTTTTATCTTTCTCATACTCCTAGATAATACCAGTCTAAGTTAAATTAAAATGTGCGAGTTAATTGAATTAAATCAGATGAACATTGAGTACCAGCCATGTACAAAAAATGGTGGGCACACAAGTTAGAGTAAGTTAAGGCCCTTTTCAGGGAGGAGCACTTCTTCTTAACTAACCACTAACATAAGAAAGAATACTAAATTGGCAGCATAAAAATATGTAATCCCATCTAAGAAACCTGAAATAGAAAACATAAATAAGCTTTAATAAGGGATAGGGGAAGCTGAGGAAATGACACAGTATTTTTAGAATGACAAATAGCCTCAAAGGGGAGCACTGCGGTGGGAAATATAATAGATCAACAAGGCAAGATTATAGGAATCCCAATTTTTTTATATGAATTGGTGTTTTCTCACTATGGACAATAGTTATTAAAGAATGACACAACCTTGCCAAAACCGGTTTGGCTCAGTGGATAGAGCGTCCGCCTGAGGACTGAAAGGTCCCAGGTTCGATTCCTGCCAGGGGCATGTACCTTGATTGCGGACACATCCCCAGTAGAGGGTGTGCAGGAGGCAACTGATCGATGAATCTTTCTCATCGATGTTTCTAACTCTCTATTCCTCTCTCTTCCTCTCTGTAAAAAAAAAAAATCAATAAAATATATTTAAAAAAAAAAAAAGAATGACACCACCTAAATAAGGCTTTTGCTTTAGAATGCTAACCAGTGGTATGAAAAGTAAGTCAGAGAAGCAAAAAGAGTGGTTAGAGATTAGAGGTGATTGGTTATAGAGTTTAAATTAGTTTTCTAATGTTAGTTAACAAACTACCACAACATAAAATAGCTATTATTCGCATGATTCTGTGGTTGACTAGATGGTTATCTGCTGCTCTCTCTTAGACTTTTGTGTCTGTATTAAGAGTTCAGCTAGGACTAGGCAGTTTAAAATGGCCTCACTCCCATGTCTAGGGCCTCTCTCAATAACTTCGGCTCCTTCACAACATTGTAGTCTCGAGGATTTAGGAGAGTGAGAGCTGTTAAACCTCTTAAAACAGTACCTTCAAATTCATACAGTATGGCTTATCCCACATCCTGTTGTTTAAAAGGACAGCCCAGAATCCAAGGCTGGAAATAGATCCCATCTCTTGAGAGGAGCTGCAAAGATTTGGGGCCACATTAATACAGTAGGCGTCTAATGCTAGTTTTTTTGTTTTATCTTTTTAGGTGACCAAGGGGAAGTCCCAAGGTTAAATGATCTTTTGTTTTTTCTTATTTTACTTATTGATCACTTATCTGGGATCAATAAGAGCTAGTTTTGTAAATTCATATTCATTAAATAGCTTTCCCCCCCCCCCCCATTAAATAGCTTTTTTATTGAGCTCCAACATTGTTGTCATCTTAGGTCTTTCTAAATCAGATTTGAGTCTGCTTCTAATAATAGACTCTCTGGTTTATAAAGTAAAAATGGAAAATTCTGATACTGCCATGGAAAAGAAGCCATAATAATTGATATGGTTGCCATAATTAAGTATCAAACTTACTTAGGAGTTTCTTGGCAGCCAAGGAAAAAAACAAAACCAAGGTACAATTCTTATAAGAAATTGGGAACCACTCAATTTTTCCTTGTCCTTATTTGGAAATTTATATAATAAGTACCGTATTTTCCGGCGTATAAGACGACTTTTGAAATGAAAAAAAGTCAACCGAAAATCGGGGGGGGGGAGTCTTACGCCGAGTATATCCCGAAAAACGTTTCGATATGCCGCTAAACAAATTTTCCAACTCGATCCCGCACCAATCACTGCAAGGCTGCTCGGACAGCCTCTCTAACACAGCCAATCCAAGTAGGCTTTTTATGCATGCAAATTATACATGTTCTGTACCTGAAGCTACACTGTGTTCTAGTAAAAAGCCTGCACAGATTGGCCAGAGTCAGAGAGGTGGTCTATTAAAAAAAGAACTGGTGTTGCCTCGGAAGTGGGGTGTAGTCTTAAACAGCGAATATAGGCCTAAACCTATGTTTTAACTGTAAAATTAGGGGGTCATCTTATACGCCAGAAAATATGGTACTAAGTTATAAAATATACAGTGGCCTCACAGTTTTATAACATATGCAGAAATGTTTCATGTGGCCTTCTATAATGACTTTTGATAAAAGCCAAGGGGATAAAGCATAACTTCAGTGAATACAATTCTCTAGTGCTAAGCAAAAGTATTCAAATATATAACCTACCAATAGACATATTAGATCCAAGGAAAAATTAAATCAAGTCGACCTTGAGGAGTAAATGAATAACCTTAGGCTCATACTATTCAAGGTACAGTCCATGGACCAGTGCTGGTCCATGAATTATTTGATGCAGGTTCACATTAAATACAGAAATTAAGGATAAGCATTTAGAAACTTTTATAATTGCTCTACCATTCAAGTATATGTGTATTTCATAAAATAATTACTCCATGACAGATTGAAAATCTTTTTAAAAGTTGGTCTTTCATCACAGTCTATTATTTGTTTCTTTGGAGCTTTGGAGAGAAATGTGACATCCTCAGCTGTTAGGGGCCTGGTGTGCTTTCTCTTTGTGTTGCTGATTTGAGAGCCAAGCTATGCACTGTATCTGGAATGCTCATGTTAGCATTCTGTTACACAGTTGAAATGTCTAAATGGCATTTCCAGTAGTATGGAAGTCTAGAACATATCTCTGGAGAAAGATAAGGTTTTCCTCAGAAAGAACCCAATATTTTATGTATTAATATTTGTGGTTAATTTTATTACTACAGACTATTCTTGTTCAGTCCTGGTATCCAATCACTGTGGCCACAAATTCTAGAGAGCAGAAGAAAATATTGGCGAAATATTTGTTAGAAACATCTGGTAACTTAGTTGGTCTGGAATACAAGTTGCATGATTTTGGCTACAGAGGAGTATCTTCTCAAGAGGTAAGAAACTGTAATGAACGTCATTGAATAAAATGTAGATTGTCAATAGATTACCATTATAAACATTCTGGGAAGTTATGGGATCAATGTTGGTTCTACGTAGGCAACATTTTGAAGTTCTAGAGATGTAGCCAATAGATGTACCTATTGTATGTTAGACTCTGTTCAAAGTACATGGAATATAGCCTTCAAATAATGTTTCCATCCTTTATATATTAGATCGATGGGTGGGTGGACCGACAGACAGACATAATAAATATAGCAGATGCCAGATAATGCTACAGAGAAGCATCAGGCGGAGTAAGGAAAAAGAGAGTGATGGGAAATGGGGGTAGGCCCAATTAAATACTCTTTGAGAAGCAGTTGATTCCATAAGTGCTTAAAAAAAACTGGATGTTTATCATATAACTATTATCTCTGATAATAAATAAGAGTAATGGAAGACAATAATTCTTTGGGAACTATATCAAGTATGGGTCTTTTTCTTTTTTGGATTTTGGTTTACGGTTTGTTTTCTAGACTGCTGGTTTGTTTTCTAGACTGCTGGCATAGGAGCATCTGCTCATTTGGTTAACTTCAAAGGAACAGATACAGTAGCAGGAATTGCTTTAATTAAAAAATACTATGGAACGAAAGATCCTGTTCCAGGCTATTCTATTCCAGCGGCAGAACACAGGTAAAACTGTTTTCATCCTTTTATTATCTAAACTTTTATTTTCTATAATTACTAAGTTTTCTCTCTTGTATTTGTAATTTAGTGATGTTTTGCTTAATTACAGAGCCATGTACTCTAGTAAATCTTCATGAACTAAAGCAATACAAATTCATTGATACTTTGTGTAAAGACTAGTGTTAGGGACCTAGAAAACCTGTAACCATCCTAATAGAAACAATATAAGAGCTTTTTTAACTGCTATATTGCCATCTAGGTGAGTTTTTTATAAAGGTCTTTTTCAGCTTCTCTATTGCATATGCAGATGGATTTTATGTATTGAATTACATCTGCTCACTAAAACCTGGCCACTCTTTTTCCTCTCCCTACTCTTCTACATGACCTCCTGCTATATTTGCCATGGAAATTGTCATCTGGAGCCGGTACCCTCAATTGTAGAAGGGCTAGTAAGCTCTTTTGATGAAAAGGAAGAGAGTTCAGATTCTTCTTATGCTTCCTTAAGTGATCTTATTAAACCATCTCTAGTTGAATTAGAAGGCAGTTATAATCTAGGCAGCAGCTGCTCTAATCCTAGAGTTAACTTGTTTTTAAAACAGATCAAACCTTATTTCTGGTTCTTATAACAAAATGTATTTACTCTTTGAGGTGGTTTCTTAAGTCCTATTTAAATAGTTTATACTTATTAAGCGTTTGTTTTATATGATGTAAAAGGTGAGATTGTTATAAAGGCAATCTACTGAGTGCTATAAGGAATAAAAAGATAAAATACTGACTCTGTCTTTAGGGTAAAATAGTACACTAGCAACATTTAGCTCTGTTGATTAAGTATTTTTAAAGAGGTATAATTAAAAGTGCTGTAGTAGTGCAAGGGAAGGAAAGGAGGGATTGCATTCCACTAGCAGGGTCAAGAAAGGTTTTATAGAGATGGGATATGAAATCTTGATTTTTTGAAGGAATGGTAACATTTAATGGCAGTCATGGGGATCACTCATTCTCTAAATGAATATTTATTGCTTACCCATCATGTGTCAGGCATTGTCCTGAAAGAGGAGACGATGTGTTTAGGGAATCAGAAGTAAAATATAGAAACTGTAGGGAACATAGGGTAAACTGGGAAGACAGGTTAGTGAAGGCCTTCAGATTTATGCTAGCTTATTCTATTTTCTAGTGGAAGTGGACATTGACGGTTTTTAGCAAAGAAGTATTGTCAGAGATATATTATAGAAACATTTTGATAGCAGGTTATCTTCTGATTTGGAAAGAAATGAAAAAGTAGGAGGCTATGGTAAAGCTATTGCAGCAGTTTTGAGAGATGACAAGGTTCAAAATAAATGGAAAGATGCAGATAAACATGAGCAATGTCTTGGGAAATGAAATTGCCAGAACTTGATGATTGGAATTGGGATCACGTAGAGAGTAGATTCAACTGACATTTATGAGAATAGCTGTATTAGTAGGGCCTTATTGAATATCACATTTAAGACTAGTGAAACTGGGAAAATTTATCAACAGATAATGGTTTTAGGGTTACAATATTTTTATTTCAGACTTAGATGTATGTACAGCTTTGAAAACTTAATGTAGTATCCATGTATTAGACTCTTGACTAGTGGTTTTGTATAGTACCATGAGAATGGTATTATAAATATGAGAATAAAGATAGTGTCTTCTTTAGGACTTTCATGATAAAAAGGTAAAAATCCATTTACTTTAAAGTCACGTAATACTACATTTGTAAGTGTTTGATTCCTTAATGTAAAAGAGTATTTCAGATGTCCTAAATAGAAAAGTCAAAGTCTTAAACAACAGTATAGTATAGTGAATAGAACTTTATAGCTGACACCTTGGGTGGCCTTGGGCAAGGCATTTACCTCTCTGTTTTTCAGTTCATCCAACCAAATAAAAGGAGGAGCTAGAATTTTACATCTTAACATCAGAAGGTCATTGAAAATAAATGAGCTAACATCTAAAATAATTTTAAAATAAGAGAACTCTAAATTTTATAGCACCACCATTATTCTTACAAATATTTTTTTAAGGAATATATATACCTCGATTTAGAATTATTCAGTTATATAACTTTTTCCTCAAACTTCGAAAAGTTATCTAATTTGATACTGGAAATTGGAATGTTGGCATGTAGAATTCATTGAATAAATATTTATGATCTCCATATACTAAAATTATAATAATAAGAATGGGTGGAACAATTGGATTATATAGAGAATCCTCTAGGAAAAGTCTGTGGTATGATGAGATGAACATATTCATCTTCTACCTAACAAAGTACATCTGTAGTACAGAAGCAAAACTTGGACTAGGGTACTTTGGAAATCCTCACCGTGAGGATTTTTTTTAAAAGCTTGAGATGTGTGTGTTTCTTCACACATGGAGGTGTATAAAGGGAGACAGTGCCCAGGTCACAGTCTTTGGTCATATTGAAGAAAGGAGATGGCATAGCATCTGGGGGGTATAGAAAAGGAGCCATAGAAATAGGAAAATCAAAACGTGGGAGGTGTCATTGAAATCATAGGAAAGAAAGCTTCAGGAAAGTTCAGATGCCACAGGGAAGCCAAATAAAGGCTAAAAATAAACAATTATGTTGGCTAGATATGATAGACACAAATAGAGTTAGATGACTGTATTGATTCAATGCTAGTAAAATATAACTGCATAAGCAATAACTTCTAACTAGGATTTTTTATTCAGTTACTAAGCTCTCCAGTATTGGTTTTCTTTGCTCTTAATTGTCTCTTATCAAGGTGACAGTAGCAATTCTTGATACAAAGAAGGGGCTTTTTTTCATCATCTCCTAATTTCCCATAGCCTGCAGTTTCTTGAGTGAGTTAAGAGAACAGCATAGCTCCTGGTAGTCTCTATAGTTTAGAAGAATATTCACTATATAAATAGGCTATCTCCATTTCAGACAAGAGTAGTCTCTCTGTGTAGTTAAGTCTTTATAACCCTGAATTGTACAGACTGTGCTATCCCCAGCATACCATTGACAACACAGGAAAAGTTGGCTACTCTAATTTTTTAGAAAAAAAGTAAAAATAAAATGACAATTTTAAACCTAAATTCGTATGACTCTTCAAAAAGTTTTGAGGTAAGCGTTTACCTACATGGGGTTGTATAGTAAATGAATGATTTGTCTTATTTTTCATTATTTTACTTATAAAAATGGAGTAGAGGCAAAGACTAGAAAATTAGGGAAGAAAAATTGCTTGTCATGAGAAAATGGCAATTTTCAAATTCATTATTCTGTTTTAAGAATTTTAAAAATTATATACAGGAGTAGACAAAAGTAGGTTTACAGTTGTAAGTACTCAAAATAGTTTATCCTTGTATTATTATTTATTAATTATTGTATTATTTATTGTTATTAACCTACTTTTGCCCACCCCTATATTAGTAAACCAACAAGTTCTTAAATTATATATTATTAACCTATTTAATAAGAAGAACCATTATTGAGGACATAGTGAAAGAAACTCACACTTTAATTTTCCACCTACCTTACATTTTGCTCAAACTAAATATTAAAATTCTTATTCCCTGGATATATGTTAATTAGTGGATAACCTATAAATGAAATAAATGATAATTACTAGCTATTTGAAGATATAACAGGTAAAGAGTTAGTTGACTATATGTATCTATAGTATAGTCTAAGTAATTGCCTTTAAGTGTAAGAATTTGAAAGGTGAAAAAGATAAAATGTATGCCTACTATTATTGGTACATAATAGTAGGCATACTATTGGTTTTGAAAATTCACAGGAGGGAGTCAAGTGCTTACATTGCCTAACAAATGGTGGGATCATGTGTCCATTCTTTCTAGCATCTTGGCATAACAAATAAAGTGCATTCAGTAAGTGCTTTATAGTTCATTAAGTTTAAATACACCCCCCCCCAAAAAAAATTCAATATGACTTGAAAGCTAAAATAATTATTAGAGAAAAGTGATATTACTTTTAGTCTTTAAAAAAATTATACGAGGGGTGGTTTGGCTGACGTATTCAATTAACCCTCTGATGTGCATTCTTAAACCTAATCACTCACTTTTTCTGCAGTGTTGTTGATATAATCTAGTAATCATGAGAGATGATTCAGGAACAGGTAATGTGTCTGCCTGAGTAAATCTGTCTTTTCATTTTGTTTTCTAGTACCATAACAGCTTGGGGGAAAGACCATGAAAAAGATGCTTTTGAACATATAGTAACACAGTTTTCATCAGTGCCTGTATCTGTGGTCAGCGATAGTTATGACATTTATAATGCGTGTGAGAAAATATGGGGTGAAGATCTAAGACATTTAATAGTATCAAGAAGTTCAGAGGCACCACTAATAATCAGACCTGATTCTGGAAATCCTCTTGACACTGTATTAAAGGTAAATTTTAATACATAACTTATTAAAATGCTGTCGACCAGCTGCATCACCACTACTTTTAATTTCATTTACACACATACCATTCAGAGTGATCCTAGATCTTACTTTAGAGTTGCAGCCCAGAGAGAGTAATAGATTTGCCCAAGGTCACACAATAACAGAAAGGATACCTTTAGTTATGGGTTATTTATATATATTGTCAAATAGATAAGTATTGTTGATATTTTCTGTTTACTTTCAAAATTAATTGATAGCATTACCATTTTAATGACTCCTGTGATTTGGTTACCAAGTTTATGGTTTGTTGCTATACCTTTGAAATTCTTAGTGCAAAAGAAACATGTGCAAGTTGAGGTGGTAAAAAAATACTAGAAATACTTTTCAAGTAGTGCTTTTTTAAAAAGATACTTCGATCATCAACGTAGCAGTATTGTCTATGTTTAGTGTTCAGGACTTGGTTTGCCTTCTTTGAAAAGCACTAAATAAGAGCAGGTTCTTTGATCCTACTAGAAAAATTATTAGATGCTTTACTTAGGCTGTGTCACTTAATCTTTATGAGAATTCTGATAAATATTCTCTTTTTTATAGACAGACTTATATAAGAGGTTAAAGTAACTTGCTCAAGGTCACAAAACATGTAAAATAAGCCAACTATCCATTGTCGCCTTCTCACTTTACCAGTTTCCCATCTAATAGAAGATAAAATACCCCTTAAGAAAGGGGGATATAGAATCAAGGAAGTCTTTTCCTACCCTATTAATAATAGGCCAATCTTAAAGTCATCTTAGCCTGAAATATTTACAGATTTGGTTTTAGCAAACTTAACAGGTTTCATGTTTTACCTGTGACCTAATTAAAAAAAAATATATACAGACCTAATTTTAAAAATAACCTAAGTCATCAATATGGAATCCATGCATTGTTAGAATCTTAAATCAATTTCTTTAGGAAAAGGGAATGATTGTTGGGGAGAAGAATTGTCTGATAGGTCTTTTGAATCTCTGGCCAACCTTTCTGAGAAATTTTAAATCAGTGTTTAGGTATTTCAGCTGCTATAAAACTTTTAGTAGTCAGTGAATGAGTGGTATGATTCAAATATTATGCAATTTGGCTTAAAAAGTGGCTTAAAAATCTTTAACTGGGGAAACTGGGTTATATGAGTTTCATTTCCAGCTTTGCCTGCATATCATACTTCTTTGAACTTTGTAATTCAAATAGATTTATATTTGTTTTATCAAAATTAAATCAAATAAAACTATTGGGCACAAGCAGAATAAATGAATATCAAAAGTGTAATCATGATAAATGGTGTTTTATATACCTTTTAAAACTATTATATTTACTGTTTTTAGCTCCTAATGTTAAGATGTTTGTGGTGGGTTCTTTTCCAGAACTTATATAATTTGAGAGATGTAAGGGAAAAATCTTATGGTTTGAGCCACTTTACTGTATAATATGACTTGATAGAAAATACATTTTATGTCTATAAAATAAAAGAAATTGAGACTAAATTTTAGAAGGTTTATGCATAGTGTAAAAATTTTTTTTAAGTAAATTGATTATATTCTCAAGGTTGTCTAGCAAAGCAAAGCTACTTTTTAACTTTGGAAAGCTTTTACACTTGTTTTTCACTTTTATTTTTTGTTGGATTGTGGTTACAGGTTTTGGATATTTTAGGTAAGAAATTTCCTGTTACTGAGAACTCAAAGGGCTACAAGTTGCTGCCACCTTATCTTCGAGTTATTCAAGGAGATGGAGTAGATATTAATACCTTACAAGAGGTATGTGTTTTATACTAAGTGTTCCAATAAGATAATCATAATTAAGTTCCTTTTTATTAGTTTGATAACACATAATTTCAGCACAATTATGATTCTTAAGTGTTTATAATGATATACTGTGTCTTTTCTGCTAATTACTTACATTTTATAAATAATAGTAACTTAACCATTTGTATGACATAAACGTCTATAGACACAAGTGGCGGACCTTTTTTAATTAAATTCAAAATGTCATGGCAGTTAACTTAAAAGTAACAATGAAACCTCATTTATGTTCCTATTTCTCATTGGCCACCCTGGATGACAAACTGAAATATCACTGCCCTGGCTGGTGTTTCTCAGTGGTTAGCGTGTTGGGTCTCTAGCACCAGTAGGTCACATGTTCTATTCCCTGTCATGGGAAGGTACCTGGGTTGCAAGTTCACTCCATGGCTCCACTTGGCGCACATGTGGGAGGCAACCAATTCATGTGTTTCTCTCACACCGATGTTTCTTTCTCCCTTCCCCATCTCTCCCTTCCACTCTCTGAAAGCAATAGGAAAAAATATCCTCTAGTATGGATTAACAAAAAAGAAGAAAGAAAAATATCACTAAGAAACAAGAAAGTGCCAGTCAAAGAATGTTTCTTGTATTAAAACAAAAGTCTTGACGCTGCTCATATAGGTCTCAGTTTTAATAGAATGGAGCTTCACATACTCTAAAAATGTAGAAACTCAAATGGTATTAATATGTGCTTTTTCAAAATTATAAAATGGTTGTTAGCTCTTCTAAATTAAGCCTCAACTGTCATCTCTATTGTTAGATTTAGCCACATAGTGCATTATATTAAAACTTTTGCTATTTTTATTCTCAAGTAAGCTCCTAAAGAGCTATAATTTCTTAAAATAGACTCCATAAAAATTAAGGATATCACCAATTTCATAATATGGACTGTCTGCCATTGTAGCCACTGACATTTCAATGTATGTCAATCTCCAGTTGTATCCACTTTTCTGACACAAGTTATCAAAGATTTTTCTGTTTGAAAGAGCTTGGTGTGTAGTTACAGTGAAATCAGTACTCACATTATAGTTTTCCAAAGGTTCACTTAAAAGTAAGAACTACTGAATATAACAAAACAGTATTTCTGTGGTAATGTGCATTTGGTGTTCCAAAAAGTGGTATCTGAATAGATTTCTTGGAATAACAGAAAGGTTTCTTCCACCAACTCTCCCAAACTGCTTTGTCTGCAAAAAGAGGAAACTGCCCAAACTCCTCTAAGACATTTGGTGTTGGGGCATTACGAGCTTTGATGTGAAAGAGAAAAGTTTGCAGTGAGGTGGAGGATTTTAGGAATCCCAGCTGTCATATGTAGTTGCTGTTGTCTCCTTAGCTCAGCTGAATTAAAGGTTTCTTATCTGGGTATCAGTTAAGAACGATTACCCAATTCCTACATTTTAGGCAGTTTAGCAGATACCTTCTTTATCCCCCTTTCAGATGAAGAAGAATGGACAGGGTTGTGTACCAGTTTCAGAAAACCCATTGTATAGTGCTCTTCCCACTGGTTATATCTGCCCTTCTTATTCCAGTGGTAAGCTCTTTAAGGTGGTTTGTTCAATCCAACTTCCTTTAAAAAACTGAAGCTATTGGCTTTTCTTTCTTTGTCCTTTTTAACTATGAACAAGAAGTCAGATATTGAGACAAATACTCTTTTGCATTGGTGAAACTTTCAACAAAATGATCAGAGAATGAAGTTTGTGTAAAGTGAATGTACTCATGTTGATTTACCTAAAGGGTGATAGCTTTCTTCATGTTGAAGGTGGATCAAATAAGTTTTTAGAAGGAGAAAGAATAATTCATCTAGTGGTTTTGCATTGTATATGTACTAAGTTAATGACTAATTTTGACAAAATGAAAAAAATCTGTTTAATTTCAAACAATTGGCTTTTATTGACTGTCAGCCTCACTTCCTATACTGTTACTCATCAGTCTTTCCCATGAAGTTTACAATGTAAGCTTGTCCTAGTTTGTGTGTACCAAAATCAATCTGCTTCTTTACAAAAAGAGGCAAAATTCTCTTGTCTTTTTCTGTTTGTATCTCAGTTAGCTATTCAGTCATCTTGATTATCATGGAGATGATAGTTAATTAATGATGTTAAAATGATACCAAATTCTCAAAATTGGTAAGATTTCTTTGCAAGAGAAGTCCCACATAGGTGAAACGTTTTTCTCACACTGTAGCTATCCTACCGTTCTTTCTGTAGAACCCTTTCCTAGTCCTTTCTAGGAAATGTCCCTTGACCCTCATAACTTTGGTCCAGAGACTAAATAGAAGATTTATATAAATCTTATATAAATTAATTTTTTTATCTAAATACCATGGGCATAAAATAGGAAATGAAGAATAGTGTCTAACAGTTAAATTTTGTCAGTTTATATCTAGTCAGATTTCCTTCTTGTAAATATTTTTTAAATAGTATTTTTTTCCCTAATTCTGAAATTTCCTGTACTCTTAACAGAACGATTCACTTAAACTTTAACTCCAAATTATTTAAATTTTATAACTTCTGGTGCAGCTAAATGGAAAGAATATATTAAAGTCACTGAGCCAGAAATGTAGATAGATGACATTAGATGGTTATTGTTCTTTGTAATTTCCTCATTCTTACGCTTCTGAGGTGTACCTAAAATCATGTGACAGGTCTGAAACAATTTTCTCTATTTTTTCTTGTTAATCCTCGATATTTTTCCCATTGATTTTCTAAAAAGAGGGGGAGTTAGGTAGGGAGAGAAACAGAAACATCAATGTGAGACACATTAATTGGTTGCCCTCCCGTATGCCAGGAATTGAACCTGCAACCCAGGTACATACCCTTGACCTGGAATGGAACTCAAGACCCTTGGGTGCTCTGGTCAGTATTCTAACCATTGCTCACTGGCCAGGGTGATGTTTTAACTAAACCACCTTACCTTCCATCTGTTTCTTTTCTACTTTTTGCATTTCTCCCATATTGAAGTCCACTCTTTTAGAACATATCTTTTGTATTATTTTATAAGGATTTTATTATTGTTTGTTATACTTGTTCAGTTATGTCAATGAAAAATCTGAATCCAGAACCTTTGGGTACTATTGGATTCTGATATAATAAAGTCATGAGACTAAGTTTATGTATAGCCTAAGGAACCTCTTTAAAATAAATTGTGTATGTTTTCATAGTGATGCCTGACATATAGGAAGTAGAATTAGATGGTTGGGATTTAAGAAAAAAATCTGCCTTTTTAAATGAGATTGTTAAAAGTTGAAGGTCCTTGGAGTTTATATATTTTTATCGTTCAGAGTTGGTCCTTGGAGTTTATATATTTTTATCGTTCAGAGTTGATTTTATTGTTCAGAGTTGAAAATAAAAGATATCAGATCAAGACTTAGTATTTGAGAAGAATATGGTGAATTTATATTAATGATTTACATAAGACTATTAAATTTGCTATGGTTTTCTAATCGTTTCTGAAAGTTCTATTTCAGTAAAATAGAACCAGATTTTCTTATACTTCGTTTTGACTCATCTCATGAAATTAAATTGAACTTGCAACCTATCACAAATAAAACATGCTAGGTAAATAAGTCCTACTTAGAAAAAATATATAAATTACAATAATGTGGCTTAATAAATTAATATAACTTTCAAATTATGTATCCCTTGAAAAAAGGGATACTTTAGCTGCCAGAACTATATGTTCATTCAGGTCTCTAGTGGCTTGTAGATCATCATTCTGCCAAAAGTGATCCAATGATAAATGTGACTGCCTAGTGTATTCATAATTTTGCTTACAGCACTGGAGTTCTAGCCAGAATAAAATGACTCTGCCAATATCTGAATGATATGTAAGAGTATTTTATATTGTTTTGCCACCTATCTATTTAAATGTACCATTAAATATGATATGCATTATGACATGTTGCTAACATGTATTGAGATTTATTAGGAGTGATTAGTCATTCCTAGAGTGTAGAAATTCAGGACAAGTGTCCAGGTCCCTACTGGTATCTGGGCAACAACTACAGGAGACAGGTAAGTTTACTCAAATAACCTTACATATGTAAAGCCATTTTTCTCTCTCGTTTCATTTCCCCAGTCCTAACCACAGTTATCCCTCATTTTGTACTTTTTGAGGTACTTTTTAAAAGAAAATGTGGGATATAGTTTTGTATAAGCCTATTCTTAATCTCATCATTCACTATGTTATAAAACAACTCTAGGATGCTTTATTCATTAATATGACTCATGGAAAATTACCTCATTTCTTTTCCAGTTTACTTAGTTTTTGTTTGTTTTTATTTTTTAACATTCTAGGTTGTAGAAGGCATGAAGCAAAAAAAATGGAGTATTGAAAATATTGCCTTTGGTTCTGGTGGAGCTTTGCTACAAAAATTAACAAGAGATCTCTTGAATTGTTCCTTTAAGTGTAGTTATGTTGTAACCAATGGCCTTGGGGTATGTCCTTTAACTTTTATTCTGTTAGTATCTTCTTTATGTATCTAGGTAGAATGCAGTTATTGAATGCAATAATCAAAGGATAATATGGTCCTGAAGTATTAATATACTAGATGCCCTTTGCAGGAAGATTCCTGCAATATGGCTTCCTGCTGTGGTCTCCGCTGCCCCACCGGCTTCTCTCCCTTCTCCCTCCCCCGCCCCATTTTCTTGCTTCTCCGAAGCTTCGCTCCCTTCTGTAGCACTTGGCTTCTTTCTATGCTGTCTTCAGGCTTTGCTCTGGCCTGGATATGCAAATTAACCACCATCTTGGTTGGGTTAATTTGCATACTTGCCCTGGTGGGCGTGGCTTGTGGGTGTAGCGAAGGTACAATTTGCATGTTTCTCTTTTATTAAAGAGGATTATCAGATATTACTGACTCTGTCTGGAAAAAAAAAAAGAAGAGAGACATTAGATAATAACAAGACAAGAAAAAAATGAGAGGTTAAAAAACAATGCAGGTCAGTCATTTCCCACTGCTTATATATATAACTTTGAATAAAAAAGTTGACCATATTTGATCTGGAACATGAACATCAGCTAACCTAGTCATCATATATGAATGATAAACAGAGCATGTAAACACTATCAGAACAGTGTTTTAGGAAGGTAGAGTATGACGCTGGAGTTGTGACACCAGAATCATGTTCTAGTAGCCTTAGAATAGAGAAACCCAGGCTGATAGCAACTGAACAGCAATCACCCGAGGTTTCATAGCTCTTGAGAGTCTGTGGGTCAAAGGGTGAGGGAGAGGACTCTCCTAAGAATGCCTGGTTTGGTCCCATGCTTTATTTACCTCCATCTTTCTTTGGATAGTTATGGGATTGACCCATCTGCTTATGTTTTGCCTCCTACCTTTCTGATCCTGAAATAAACATTCTGCTTTTGAGGTTCTCTAGATCATTTTGCTTCTGACAGTAACAATATAATAGAGTAAAAAGTAACAAAATGCAAAGGTTATAAAATAGGAAAGCCATACTTAGTAAAATCCTAGTTCTGGAGCCACACATTATATAATTTGAGTTGACGTAGATTTGTTTTTCAATAGCATGTCTGTACTATACTTAGATCAGTTTAAAGATAAGGTGTGATATAAAAGGAGATACCTTAAAGATCACATGTTAGCATTAAATATTTCCTACAAAAGGAGTATTAGGTATTCTTCATTGATAAGAAAAAATAGCCAAGATTTGGATTTTGTTTTTTTCCTAACAAAGAACTCACTCTGTCCTCCAAAACAGGCTGGAATTAGTTTATAAAAGCCTGGTGTGGGATATCTAAAAATTGCCTTAAAATTTATTTGTAAATTATGTAGGGTTATTTGTAAATTATGTAGGGTTATTTTTTAATAGGAGTTGAATGACCATTACTGATGATTACTCTTTTTTCTTTCTGAATTTGGATTTAAGGTTAATGTCTTCAAGGACCCAGTTGCTGATCCCAACAAAAGGTCCAAAAAAGGTCGATTATCTTTACATAAAACACCAGCAGGAAATTTTGTTACACTTGAGGAAGGAAAAGGAGACCTCGAGGAATATGGTCATGTATGTATCTATTCTGATTGGATTTGTTTTGTCCTTTTTTTTTTTTTTTCCTTTTAATAGTAGCTTGGCTTTCCAAATTAAAAAGGAGGCTCTAGTTGTATTTAAGTTATAAAATTATCAGGACAATTTTTTTTCTTGGAGGACAAAGCAGTTTTATTTTAAAATATACAATAGTTGACTGAACCTACCAAAATAAGGTGAAAAACAAGAAGTGGCTAGATCATAAATATGAGACTTGTATATATTGGGTGAAATATTTTGTAACATTTAAAAAGTAAAAGTGTTTCTAAATAGTGACCAGCAGGGTTATTACTGCTAAGCTTCAACAAGCTGTGTTTTTTATCTTACTCTGCTGCCAATTAGCAGTCAATTTTTTCTGAAGAGGAATAGTTAAGAATACTTAAAGGATATTATTATTACACTTCTCATAGCTATTTATATTATAGTAAACTTTGGTAATTTTAACCAAAAAAAAAAAAAGGGAGGGGGTTATTTTATCCAGATTCTAAAATGCTAAAGATAATCCCATTTTTAAAAATAATAGAATCCAGTTTAGATGGTTTTCTTTAGTTTTCTTTGATTTTCAGGGCAACTCATGTTATCTTACTAGTATGAAATGTGAAAGCTACAAACTTGATTCAGATTACACAACAAATGGTGAAACCTAGCCTTACCCAAGTTTTCTGATTCAGGTCAATCAAATTGGAAAAATATGTAGTATGCTTATGTTAAAGGAATCCATATGATCTAATGGTCTTTAACATACAAAAGTACATTTATATTTGTGAACTTAAAAATTATAAAATTTCTAATTCTTAACCCACTGGATTAAAAACATACTCATTTTTTAGGGAAACTAATATTTATATTTTCAGAGAAAAGTTTATATTAAATATATAAACACACTAATTTAGTACTTGAGATTCGTTATACCATATCTAATACTCTGCTTGTTACTTTTATGATTTTGAGCCAGAATGAAAAAACATTTTATTACCTTTAATTAAAATGTTTCTAAACAAACTTTTAGAATTAGATTCCTTTAGATAGCCTGTTAATACTTTCCTTCGAGTAGTCTTTCCTTATAGCTACCAGGACTTTGCTGAATTACTGTAGATAGTCATAACTATTATTTTTTTAAAGGCATAGTCATAACTTATTTTTTAAAAGACATTGATTTTTAAGAGTATGTGAATGATATTCTAGAATTTTTAAGGTAGTAATTAACTTAAAATTAAGCATTTTGATTTAAGAATAAGAACCATCATTTCTTGATAGATTATGTAGAGCAGTATGATATGAAACAACATAATGATGAAAATATTAGATAATGTTACATATCACAATCTTAATGTTTTATATCACAATCTTAAGAATCTTAAGCATGGTAGATTACTTACAGATTTTTAAAAGAGAAATTAGAGATAGATAATTCCTTAAGACAGGAATGGCTTTATCGGACTCAAAGGGGAATTTAGTACTGATTTCTTAGTATATCTTTGCTAGTATATCTTTGCTACCCTTGCCAGGATTAAATACATTACTTGTATCAGTGACTTTTGGATATACACAAAGTAAAAATCAGTCACTGTGCATTAGTCACTGTGCATTAGCTATGAAATAATAATTGTTTTTGTTTTTATTAAACTCCAGCTTATACATTTACTAACCTAGGGTTGAGCCTGTTGGGTAGGAACAAGGGAAGGTTTCCTTTGTTGTGCTGGCAGCGGTACTTATCAACAGCCATAGTTCTAGGCAATGCATCTTCCACCTGAAAAAACACACAAATGGGTCAACTAAGTATTTTGGTTTATCCTTTAAGGACAACTTTATTAAGAATGTAATCCTTAGATCATTCTTTTTCATAAAAGCTAAGTATTTCTACGTAGCCATTTTAGATAGTACCTTGCTGTCTGACTGTTCTCCACCAGCATTCTTTGTGTATAAAATTATTTCATAATTTGAACACCATCAATATCTGTGTATTTGACTAGTCAGTCTAATTCATGAGCCAGGCTTAAGTATTCTGCTTGAGAGTATAATCATTAAACTTAAGTATTGTTAAATTTGTGCAGGATCTTCTCCATACTGTCTTCAAGAATGGGAAGGTGACAAAAAGTTATTCATTTGATGAAGTAAGAAAAAATGCACAGCTGAATATTGAACTGGAAGTAGCACCTCATTAGGCTTTGTTTTATGACGGGGTGTGTGTCTTTGCCTCTGTGTGTGCGTGTACATGCAGGCACCCATACAACAGTGTGGGTGAGTGTGTAATACATAATGTTCATTGTACAGATGTGCGGGGTTCCTTTGTTTTATGATACATTACAGCCAAATTATTTGTTGGTTTATGGACATACTGCCCTTTCTTTTTCCCCCCAGTGTTTAGGTGATCTCAATTAGGCAATGCATTGACCACATAAAAGATTAATGCTAAAGTAAGCTTTTTAGGGCCCTTTGCCAATAGATAGTAATTTAATCTGGTATTGATCTTTTCTCAACAGAACTGCGGAACTTTTATATATAACAAAAGATCACATAAAACCGATTTGCATAAAGTTGTCATGATTGCTTTATGTTTATATTTAACTTGTATTTTTGTACAAACAATATTGTGTACGATATATTTAAAGTTTCAGTGATTAACAGTCTTTCCAACTTTTCATGATTTTTATGAGCACAGACTTTCAAGAAAATACTTGAAGATAAATTACATTGCCTTTTGTCCATTAATCAGCAAATAAAACATGGCCTTAACAAAGTTGTTTGTGTTATTGTAGAATTTTAAAATTATGTCGGGACACATCCTATAGAATTACTAACCTCACTGCCCCTTGTAGAATATATATTAATCATTCTACATTAAAGAAAATAATGGTTCTTACTGGAATGTCTAGGCACTGTACAGTGATTATATATGTTGGTCATTGTATTGTACCAGTGAAATGCCAAATTGGAAAGGCCTGTACTACAGTTTTATATGTCAAGTATTGCCTGTGGCTGTAATATGCACCTCAAGATTTTAAGGAGATAATGTTTTTAGAATTTCTGCTTCCAATATAGAATGTATACATAAATGTAAAATATTGACAAAAGCGGAAGTAGTGTATTTTAAAATAATTACACTTCTGAATTTATTTTTCCTATTCTATAGTTGATATGACTTAATACTGGAATGGGTAATGAGTGTACTTATTTTAAATTTTTTGATTCTGTTATATTTTCATTAAGTTTTTTAAAAATTAAATTGAATATTAAATTGTATGGACATCATTTATTTTAAACTGAATTCCTAAATAAATATTCCATTTCCTAAATAAATAATATTCCATTAAGTTTTTAAATGAAGATGAATTATCCCCGTCAAAAGCATGATGATATGAGTTTAAATAGAATCTTGAAGAAAATGGGCTAAATTCAAAGTATTCAGCATCAAAATGTTCTAGAGTGATTATCTGCTAGATTCTGAGTCAGTCATCACATCTAACTGGAGACCGTTTGTTTTGTAGATGATTCGTATATATTTATGTCTGCACTTGTAAGGCAGTGAGAGGTTGACAACTAAAACCCAATGCCAAATTTGGACTGTTTTTTTTTTTGTTGTTGTTGTTGTTAAATAGCATCTTGTAGGGCCCCCCTCCTAGACAGCAGCAGAAATTGAGTAGTTGCAGTAGTGAGCACATGGCCTAGAAACCTGAAATGTTTATCTGGCCCTAGCGGACTGTGCCTTGAGTTTTAAGAGAAATGTTGATTTTCAGGGAAGGTAGGAGGTTAAGTAGATACAGAGTTTGTCTCTCATCCTTTTCTTTTCTCTTTTAAGAATCTGATTAAATGTGAAATTTTAAAAAATTGAAAAGCCATAAATCATATCTGTCCTGATCTGTCCTGAACAATTACATGAGAAAGTATTTTATTAGTATTTTCTTAGAATAATCTAATTAGAGGTGAGTTACCTTTATTAAACATCTTTTATAACATTAAAAATATAGGTTTTTGCAGATGATTCTAAATACTTGTTTAATGAGAATAAGTTTTATTCACTTTCAGTAAGTTTTCATCTTGTAATTTATGGTAGAAAATAACTAAGATGATTTTAAATGTATCTAAGTAAAGATTAGTAGTATTAAAAAGAATACATCTTTTCACAAAATGTGCTCTAAAGGGGCTTAAAGAATTAAAAGAAACTGTATTACAAATAACTGATACCACCTGTAAGTTTGATTTTATTTGTTTAAACACTGGAATTGAACTAAAGGCAATATTCTTTCTGTACTGTGAATATCAGCAATTTCAAAGTATCTAGAGGAGTTTTATTTTAAGACTTCCAGTGAATACTAAAATCTGTACATTTGAATATGGCTATAGATTGCAGGGTGGGATGATTAATTCTGTTCACTATTACTCATTTGGAACTGATTAACCCTGAATTTCCATCACTGAGCACCACTCTGAGTAGCAATGGTTAGCATAGGTACCAGGTAGAACTTTGCTGTGTCACCCTTTAAATCAGCCTCACTGTTTCAGATAAAAGCAAGTGTCGTGTGGCTTTCCCTAAGTCATTAGATGTGCAACTGACATCGGTTAATCCCTCTCAATTCATAATATAAAGTATTTGTATTTTAAATAAGAGATAGGTGTTCTGTATTAAGACTCTTTATTTGTACTCTAGAGTTAAAGTGGTTTTAGTGATCATCCCTTACTTCCTTTATTGCAATAAATTGTTACAAAAATATTTTATCATTTGGAAAACTAGAAAGAGGAAAAATGACAAGGTATTTATTGCTCTGTTTGCTGTATTTAGAATTAAACACTTAAGTATTTTGTAGTTTTACATTCCTTTTTACCCATTCAGTGGAGAATGTCAGTTTTTCTCCAAAGTTGTATGTTAAGTCAATTCTAATATATGTATTCAGCATCGTAGATAAACATTTTATAAACATGGAAATAAAGTTTAGCTCTATTAGTGAAATGTTAAACTTGACTGTGTGATTCCAATAATGGCATATTTCCAGACTTGCCTTTTTAAGATATTCCTTCAGTTCAAATAATTAGAGAATGGGAGGGAGAAGTGTCAAAGATGACTCCTATATTTTACTTTGTGCAGCTACTAATATATATATGATAGTGCCTCTTACTAAGAACACTTGAAGGAGACCAGCTTTATGGGGAGAGAAAGAGCACAATTCCTATATTAAGATTTGAGATGCCTTTGAAACATTTAAATGAGGATACTAGATAGCTTTGTATACAGATTTGGAGACAAAAGAGTCAAGATACCAATTTGATGTGTAGATAGCCCCTGGAGACACAGGAAGGGATACTTCTTTAAGTGTAGAGTATGGCCTGGCAAACCACAGGCCAGATCTAGTCCATCTATTTTTGTAAATAAAGTGTTTTTGGAACACAGCTCTGCCCACAGCTCTCTCTGGCTGTTTTCATGCTACAATGACAGAGTTGAGTAGTTGTGCAAAGCCTAAAATAATTTACTGTATGGTTCTTAAAAGAATAAAATGTGTCCATTTCTGCTAAAGAAAAGAGAACTAGACAAGATCCAGAAACCTGAGAAGACAAGTGGATTGTATGGTTACACAATAAAATCTTCTAGGAGGATGGCAGAAGTTGTAATGGAAAGGAAAACTAAAGCAGTGCCCAAGTGTTCAGTGAATGAGGTGTAGGGACCAGGAGGCAGCAATAAGGAGGGATGCAAATCTCAAAGGGATCAAGCAAGGGAGAGTACTAGCGCAGGCAGGCCTGCAGAAAGCTCAGCCTCTTTGAAGAGTCCAACCATATGTGACCAGTACAAGCTGATTAAAAAGTGCTTCTGTAGCTTACTGTCCTTCACCAGGCACTCAAGCAACATTTGATGTCTAAATGTATGGAGAGAAGAAATAATCAAGATAAAAATTTCTTGATTTCATTAGCTTGCTACAAATATTCATTTTCTGATATAGGCCCATATGTTGAAGCCTTTACATAATCTTTAAATGTTTGTTTGGGATGTTACATTTTGTTTACATTTTATTTTTAAGAGACCAGCCAAAGCATTCTGCAGCCAATAAAATCAGTCACCTCTCCCATATATTTAGAGTCCTCCCACCTCATTTTATTTTCAGAAGTTTCTTAATTGTTCTCTCCCCCCAGAGACAACTTTGTTCTCTCCCCCCAGAGACAACTTTATCTATTTGGTTCACAGTTCTTTATTCCATTAAGACTTACTTATTAAATACTTTTAAGTTATTCCAGCAAAGAGAAATATGTTCTTAGAGATTTAGAATCATTCAATTTATAAATGTCACCAAAACTTTTTTAACTAACATGAAAATGGGTCCTGATGAAAATCAAGTATTTGCATACTGTCACATGGGCTGATTGAACCTTCACCTCACTGGTATACATGACTTGGTAACTTCCTTGGTATATTCACAAGGGACCAGAGATTTTGACCACTTTTCAGAGCTCATGTTGCTGCTCTCTTAGCAAATACTGTAGTAGCCTGCCAATTGATTTTTTGGCCAGTTTAAAGAATCATCTCTATAGAAAAAAGTTTTGGTTTATAATGATTTATGTTCAATTTATGTTAATTCCAGAGAAAAATATTTTCTTTGGTTGGAAACAAAATTCAATTTAAAATACACTTATTCTGATGACTTTTTAAATTTTATGATTGGCTACTGAGCTGTTACTTTTTTGACTTAAACTAGGTAAGACATTCTGTAGATTTTATTAAAATGAATTAGCTCTAGTGCTTATGAGCTCTCCTGATGAATTGGCCAAGAGTCTAATTTCGATTAGGTCTTCTAGGGCCCATTGGGGAGCTGCTTTGCCCCGTGGTGGTCAGCGCGCTGCCACAGGGCTCCGCTGCTCAGTCAGAAGCCAGGCTCATGGCTGGTGAACACAGCAGCACTAAGGATTCACTGTGGGAGCGGATCTAAGATGTCAGTTGGACATCCAAGGGTGCAGGCCAGGCTGAGGGACACTCACCCCCTCCCCCAAGTGCACAAATTTCATGCGCCAGGCCTCTAGTATTAATAAAAGAAATAAAAGCTTAATAGGGATGTAAGAGAAATTGCTTTGTGAACAAGAGAATGCCATAGCTGAGTTTATAGTCTAAATTTGTTAAAGGTATGGGCTTAAATAAATTGAGCTTATGGTTTAAAGCTAAAATAAACAGGGATAGCCCTAGCCA